AATTTATTTACAAATAATGATTTTTCAACAGATATTAAAACAAAAATTGATAATATCAATACTTCAATAAATGGACTAGAACCATATTTAGAAACATATACACCAGATGCAACAGAAGGTTTTTATATACATCATCCTAATTTTGTTGCTGTTAGCGTTGGTGATATTACTAATGCCAGTAATCAATATATGATGTGTGATGGGTTGGTAAATAAAACAATTTTTAATAAACCTGTTGACGTGTTAGGTAATATTTATACAAATGCCGCTGTTAATTGTGATAATGTTAATATTGATACTGATGGTAAATTAACAATTGATACAAATTGTGAATTATATAGATATGTTAGTGCTTTTTCATCTTTTGATATGAGGAATAGTGATGCTAATTCTTCAATTAGATTTATTTGTGGAGACCCTGCTGTTCAATCTAATATAGTTGGAGCAGTTAATATTTCTACCGGATGGACTTTTAACACTTCTACTGCTGATGTAATGGGTAATTTATTTGCTGATGATATTTATGTTAAAACTAATGGAGCATTAAGAAGTAATCATATAGCACCTAATGGTGGAACATTAGTAACCGTTGATACTAACTTAGCAGTTCAAAATGCATATTTAGCAACTAATACCATTCAATCATTTGATTTAACAACGGTTTCATTTTTGAATAATATTTCAATGACTACTGGAACAGATCTAAAGATGGGAACAAGTGAAATATCAACTTATTACGATGGAACTAGTTTATCTACAATTGATGTAATATTCAGAACATCAAACACGGCGTTTAGAGTTGCTGATAGTTCTACTACCCCTTCTGTTTTATTATCTATTGATAAGACATTTGGAACAACAGTAAATACTGAAAGTTTTACAAATAATGCTCCATCGACTTTTAATGAAAATGTAACAGTTGTTAACACAAAAACATTATTTGTAAATGATATTCAAGATGCTTCAGGCGATGCTATTGATATTACCGCTGGGACAGTAACCATAAATGGAAGTTTAATAGACAACTCTGATGCAAGATTGAAATATGATGTAGATTTATTAAACAGTAATTGTATTAGTATGAGTAAGAAATTCAAACCTAAAAAATTCAAAAGAAAAGATAGAGACAATAAGGATGCAATCCATATAGGTTATATTGCTGATGATTTATTAAAAGCAGTTCCGAAAGAAATTAGTAATGTAGTTCATACCGAACGTGAATATTTAGGTATTGAATATACAAAAGTTCCAATATTATTACATAAAGCTTTACTGGAAGTGATAGATAAAGTTGAAAAATTAGAAAAAGAAATTAAGGAATTGAAAAAAACAATCTAAATAATAATATATAATGGGTATTGGTCAAAGTAAAAACGATGAAAATAACAGTATGGAAGACATTAAGAATTTAAGAGTAGATGAAAAAACAAGAGCGGATACTTTAATAATTAAATCTATTCAAGAATGTGTGGCGCGAATAGAAAAATTAGAAAGTCAAAAATCGGACAAACTAATATATAAATTACCTGCGTTGAATTTATGCAACGCTTCATTAATTTAAATCAAAAACATTAAACAATAAATTTAATGTTATTGATTAGTTATTTTCAAATATTGTGAAAAGTTTTTCATAAACATTTTATCTGGGTTCTTTTCTAAAAGGTTAATATATAAAAAACTATGCGGTTCATCAGTGGCAGTCTCATATATTTTATAAATTAGTTTCTTGCTTTCGTGTAAATTATCGCTTCTAACAATTGCTGATAATTCATCTTGCAATATTTCTATCTCTTTGTAGTTTCTAACTTTATAATAAAACAAATGACTTATATTTACTCTAATAATTGGTGGCACGGTTGATGATTTTTGAAGACTGGCAAGCGTTGATATTCCACTATGACGTCCCCTACAGAATAAAGAATTTAACAATTTGTTATTTCTTGTTATTGCTGGATTATCAGATACATCATCCAAAATTACCAAAATATTAAACAATTTCTTCGTTCCTTGTTTTTTCTGGTATTCAATTATTTTATTTTGAGTTTCTATAACTCTTTCTAAATCTTCAACATTGAACTCATCCCACCAACACGGTTCTTTATCAGTATCTACTTTCAAACCTTCTTTAATGTGTTTTTTAACAGGCAACCAAATACTATCCAAATTTACTGATGGGGACCAGATAAAAATTCTTTCGTATGCATCTCTATAAATATCAAGTATCATTGATACAAGTAGCGTGCTCTTTCCAGAGCCTGACGGGCCCACAATCATAGCTCTCATCGGCAATTTAGGGACGACCTCGTGCTTGCTTTGCTTAAAGTCATATTTGATTTCGTCAATTGGTTTTACATCAGGCATAATAAAATAATATTAAAGATATTTAGAAAATTATTTATAATTAATATTAAATGGAACATCGTTATGTTATGAGTGGCGGTAAATAACATAATGGAACAGGTTTTCCATTGCTTCAATCAATAAGCATTGAAGATAATTAGTTTTGTGTCTTGCTCGCGTGTGCAATGAAAACCCAAGTGCTGTGCCCCACCAATATTCTATTATGCATGAAAATAATAAGATCAAATAATTATTTTTAATAATTATTTCATCTTATTATTTAATATGGATAGAAGTTATTCAGATTATATTGATATAATAGATGAAGTAGAGAATATAGAACAAGTAATAATAACTGACAACAGATGTAAGAAAGTATGCTTTTATACATTAGAATTAATAAAATTAGGAATACAATATACCAAAAATAAAAATGTAAATATTAATATAAATGCCAAGAAAGAAAAAGAGTAAAAGCAAAGAAAGACCAATGCCAGATATTGAAGCTCGGAAAAAAACAACGGAAAGTGTTAAATCACTGGGCGAAAGTAAAGCTGTAAAATGCGATAAATGTAATCATGTTATGAATTTTAAGAATGAATTGACGGTAGATAAAAAAGATGGTGTTAAGGTTAGTTGTGTCCCATGTATGTTTTCTTTTAAAAAAACAGACAAAGATTTTAATATTCAGAAAAAATCAGGAGGCGATATGGTTATTGAAACTAACGAACATTTGATTAATGTTAGTTTCACCAGGGACATAAGTTAGTATTTAAAGAGTATACTTTACATTAAATCAATTTAATAAATAAATAAATATTTAAATAAATAATTATATAAATAAATATATATAGAAATGTCTGAAGTTGAAAATGATGTTATTGTTGAACTATCAAAGAAGATAATGACAGTTAGTAAAAATGTTAAACTGTTGTACGAGATGATAAAAACTATTGACCAGAAACTTGATGCAAACGAACCAAAAGATAACAATGAAGAGAAGGAAAAGATTGACAAAATCTTTGAAAAGAAAGGGATAGGCAGACCCAGCGGTGATTATGACACGAAGCGTAAAAAATATTGTGATATGTTAAATAAGGGGCAAATCAAAAGTCCAAAAGAACAAACATTAGAATATTATAAGATTATTAAGGAAGATGATAAATATGTATATTTCTAAAACATTATCTAAATCATTCTAATAAACAATATATGAATTTATTAGAATTATTTAGTGGAACTGGAAGTGTAGGAACCATAGCAAAGTCATTAGGTTTTAATGTCATGTCATTAGACTTGAAAAATGCTGATATTAATTGTGATATTTTGGAATGGGATTATAAACAATTTGACAGAAACCATTTTGATTTTATTTGGAGCAGTCCCCCGTGCACTGAATATAGTGTAGCAAAACTAAGGGAATTAGGAATATTGAATATGCTAATAGTATAGTTTTAAAAACTATTGAGATTATCAAATATTTTAATCCTAAATATTTTGTAATCGAAAATCCTCAAACTGGATTATTAAAAAATCAGGAGTTTATGAATGAGTTTAATTTTAAAGATGTTGATTATTGCAAATATGGATTTAATTACAGAAAACGCACTAGACTTTGGAATAACATTACGAATTGGACACCTAGAGATTTATGTAATAGAGATTGTGGAAAAATAAGGAATAATAAACATACTGAAACTGCGCAACGACTGCCATCAAAAACTAAAGCAGAATGGGGAGATAATTATGTAATACATAAGCAGGAAGATTTATACAAAATACCTGCTGAATTGATTTGTGAGATTTTGACGAGTTTGATGGACTAAGGAATTTGAGTTTCTGGCACCAAAATGAGCCCGCAAGAGGAATTTTGCTCTTTACCCCGGATTTTGGGGTAAGTACCCTGGATTTTGGGGTAACCTGCCTCCTTACCCCGGATTTTGGGGTAAGTACCCTGGATTTTGGGGTAAGTACCCTGGATTTTGGGGTAGGTACCCTGGATTTTGGGGGAAGTACCCTGGATTTTGGGGTAAGATTTCAAGGATATATTTGACACATACTTAATAAACCTTACAATGAAAAACATTGTAAGATTTATGATTTGGATTTATGGGGATTTTGGGATTTGGGATTTTGGAAAAATATATTTTGGGAATTTGGGATTTTGGAAAAATATATTTTGGGAATTTAGAAAAATATTTACAAAATTTATGTATCAAATCTTGAGTTGAGGTTCTGTTATGAATTGATGAACAAATATTATGTGGATTGGTCGGTTGAGGGGATTTTATATTTTGGGATTTTGGAAAAATATATTTTGAGAATTTGGGATTTTGGAAAAATATATTTTTGAAAATTTAGAAACATATTTGTAAAATTTATGTATCAAATCTTGAGTTGAGGTTCTGTTATGAATTGATGAACAAATATTATGTGAATTGGTCGGTTGAGGGGATTGTATCCAACTGGGGCAAGGTCTTGGGTAGGTTTAAGCGCTCGCCGCACCTGGGCGGTTGCTGGTTGCATGGTCAGTGAGCACTATGAGTTTTCTCCTGAACTGCAAACACTGGTGGAACGTCTCATCTAGTCGGAACCCTAGCCCTTGTGCCATGAGGCGGGGGGGGATATCCATTGGGGGCCCGCTGCATCGCTCGCCCGAGGACGGGGAGTGGTCTGAAGGGCCGCCAGCTTGTTGGGAGGCCGTGCACTTCATCGCCGCGTTCAGCCTCGCGCATTGGCCGCAGTTATAAGTTATAATAATGGCTTGAGCAGATCTAAGATGGTTTCCACTACCCAGCAAACCACTGATTAAATGCATAGGTTTATGATGTGATATGCAGCCACTACGTAGCTACCATAGAAGCAGTGAAAACGCATGTTCCCTCTGGAGGTGGTGCTCTGCATGCAATCTTGGAGACTGGGAAACATAAAAGCCAACCGCCAACAGACCGAACCACCAGCGCAATCACACCGATTCCTCAAAGGAAGTGTTTGGCTTTGGAACCCCCACATAGCTCCCCTTAACTAAGGGGCTCACATAGCACCTAATGTATCATGATCTGAGAACTACCCATGCTCACTTAAGTTTTGTGGCGGGTCAGATTTGCTAAATTGGCCAATCTGTTGCGTCTGCGAAAAGGGTGGATGTTGGAGAAACAAGTATGAGCCTATCAAAATAGATTGGGCGGGTGAAGGAACTATTGTAGATCCACTGTTGCGTGCTGGGCGGCTGTCATGAGCAAATCTGGGGGGCACATGGATAGTCTTATGAATGTTTGATTCAAAGGTGGCCAATCCCAGAAAGAAGCATCCAAGGCCGGATTGCCCTAGGCGCTTCAATGCGTGCTTGATGCTGGCTGCAAGCACCTGTCCAACTGTTGAAGGGATTCTTGCAGTCACTGCACGTGGGGAAACAGTTGCGGGTCCCAAAATAGGTTGGGCCAAAATGAAGAATCGGTTTGCTAAAAGAGTTGGTTGGGGGAAAGCAGTTTTGTATGCAGAAAATTAATTTGAGAACTGAAACAACGATGGGCTCCAACAAGGTTCGGGAGGAAGCCTGAAGAAACGATGGTTGAAACGGGTCGAAGCAATTCAGTGCCAAGAAAGCATGACTTCCATTTGCTTCAGTATAAGATATTCCCCTGCAGGAGCTTTCAACTTGCAGTTTTAAGGGAACCAAACGTGTCTTTATTTCCCCGTTGGTTCTACACAACAGGGAATCTGACTACCGGAGATATTTTTGTTCAGAGGGAAGCTTAAGCAAATGGAGGATTACATACCTCTCCCCTGCGCTGTGTATAGGGGGTTGCGTATCCGGCCATCGAGCCGGATGGTGGATGAGCTGAACAATTGAAGTAGCCTTCTTTGCTCAATGATGTAGTTTTTCAAGTGCTACCCCTGGGTTGTTGGGGAAAAGATATCCTGCCTGGCATGTTGTGTTTTTATGGCACCCTAATAAAACAAGCGATTATTGTGAGACACTAAGCCATCCGCAATGCAGCGTTCTTGTCCAAAGGTAGCTGGCTTGCATATTTCAGTTTCACGGAGACAAGATCGGCATGATTGAAGATCATTTTACAACCGAGGTCGCATTGCTCGACGCGGTTGCCTTCGTGGTCTACTATAGGCGAGGTGCTTGCGGCATGTGGGAGTTTGCTTCCGAACAGGAGCGGCACGTGCCGTTGTCAGACGTTTGTTCAAAGTGCAACTTGACTCTTCATGGGGCTGCAAAAAAGTCTCTAATGAACGTCCTGTGGATCATCCGAGATCTCGCTGTTTCGATTTGTTCAAGGCAGGTGGAGCAGTGAACGTGTGGATTAATGGCGATTCACTGTGACAATTATAAGGTCAAACTCTCCGAGGGCCGGCTTGGAGGATTTGCTCTTGTCCTGTTGAAAGGTGAATTTGTCTGACCGGTTTTCCTCGACTTCAGTCGAATGCGGGCACCATGTTGGCGACACGTTTGCACGAGTCAAGGAGCATTGCAGAAGTGTTTTTCACTTGGATGTGCACGCTTTTCTCAGGGGTCCGCCGCGCCTGAAAAAGGACCACCAACGCCCAAGTTGGTTTCCCCTCAGGGCGGAATTGATTCCCCTTGCAAATGCAAGCAAACCTGTTTCTGATTTGCAGGAGGTGAACATGCGCTCAGATTCAGAACTATGGGCTCAGAATCAGAAACAGCTGGCAGTAGCTCGTTACAAACTGTGTTGGGCCCTTATAGGTCAGCTGTCATATCCCAGACCCTGAGCCCAGGCGGCGTTTGGGCCGGTTCGAGGGCAGATTAGCTCACAATCTGTTTGTGGCATTTGTAGGCCAAGCCATCTACAAGTCAAATATTTCCAGTTTGGCAACTGGATGACAGTCAGACGCGCCCTCGCGTCTCACCAGCCAGAAAAAGTGGAAGCAGATTCGCTTCGTACGGGGAGACAAGCTGGAAAAGAAGAGGGGGCACCTCGTCCTATAGGAGTGCTCAGCTGCGAAGCATCAGCAAAAAGGCACGCGCCCACCACAGAGAATGGCCGGAGCCAAGGGGCAAAAGCTTGCTCTCTGCCGCTGCGCAACCCGGCAACCCGGACTCAACACTACAGTGGGCAAAGCAGAGCCGGTGGTCACTGGGCCGACGACGTAGCACAGCGCGAGCAGGGTGACTGCGAAACGTGACGCTGGGCTTTGTGCGTTGACGAAGCATATCCAGTCTTCCCGCCACACATCAGGTCAGCCAATCGCAAGAGTTTGCCTGTTCAGCATCCAGGGTGTACCTGTTAACGTCTCTAGGAAATGAAGGAACGGACCCCTTTAACGAGACAGCATCTAAACTTGTGATCCCCAAGTATGGAGCTACATAGTATGGAGCTACATATATGAGGGGTCATTGGCGGTCACTAACTGTTCCTCTACAATATGGCTTCATGTCGGAGGTAAGGTAAGGTGGCCCAAAGACAACTAAGTCCTCCCCCAATGAGAAGGCGACAGTTGCGTTCAAGCCATACAGCAAGCTAGGCTTGTTGGCTGAAACTTGACATGCCAGCAGCGACATAGCACGGGTCTTTCACCGGCCACCGTATGCTTGGCATGGTTCTGTCAATTTCTGCGACTCGCATTTGTTTGAGCGACCTGCGTGTGAAAACTTGCCTTGAGGCAACTGCCGACAAACACTTGAGAATCGTGCCACACGCGAGGGTCCCCAAAAAGCAGGCGAAGGAAACCGTTTGGATCACTTGGAATTGCTGTCTGGAGCTGAAGCTGCTGCAGCGGCCACTGTGTGGCGACACAGCCTCCCAACATGTGCAGCACTGGAACGTCATCTTTGCCACAGGCTGGGCAGGTATGTCGCCCAGGCAGCTCCTGTATACCGAGTAGCGGTAGAGGCCATCTTCCTGTAATGCGGACTAAACTCCACGCGCGGAAGTTGAACCAAGTAGCTCGTAACGAACTAGTCTCAAAAAGTTCCCACAGGTCCGCCAGTGACAGTCCCAAGTATGGCACCTGGTCACTCATGCACTGGTCAAGGTGGATTTTATCAAAAGACAGAAGCAAGGGCTTAACTATCTCGTGCCGGTACTTTCGCAACACTCGCTTCCTCAAGCAGTTGTCCCGGCTCGCCTCCAGGAGCGTTTGCTGAGTGAACTCCCCACAGCTGTCAAGAGTAGGCAAACTGCTAGGCAGTTTGCACTCATGCAGCAGATCGTACACCTGAGTAAACCATGTGCGGCAAGGTGTGCCTTCTAACCAAGCTGCCAAACGAGCTGTGGGATGGTCATCCGGCAGAAGGCGCACTCTCGCCAGGGCTGTGACAAGGTGATACTTGAGTTCACGCTGATAACGACAACCCAAGATCGCTTTGCAGCTTGCCAATGTCCCCGGGCACCCCTGCAAGGAAAGGTGCTGCGCTGAGCACAACGGGTGAATCCTAATGAGAACTTGGGATGCTAAAACAGGAACCGAGAGAACGCCAGTCTCCGCCACGTGGAAGAGGGCAACGAACATGGACCACCCCTGGCCAAAGCCTGTGAAAGTAAGGGGAAGAGAACACCCAAAATGGTCTTCCGCCGAACTACTTCGCAATCTAAAACATCCGGATCAAGGGCTGGGCTATTGAGCAAAGCCAGGGCGCAAGTCTTATGCTTGCCGTAATTGAACTGAGACTTCGTGCGCGCAGCGTATCTTGAACAGGCAGATGATCCACCTTTATTGATGATGGCCCTCATCGCCCCCGGGGAAGAGCAAGGCACTGTTGTGTCATCAGGGATGTCCAGAAGAGCGCAACAATCCGCGAAACTCGGGGGCTCACACAGCGCGAGTTGGAGCTCAGCAGTGGCTTTTGCTGGCGCGACGCCTGCGACTTCCTTTGTTCTAGCCACACAGGGCTGGAAGAACTTGACCGGTGCTGGTTTGGAGGTAACGTCGACATTGGGGCTCAACAAATCCACATGTGTGAGGGCACGGATGGCAAACTTCGGCGGCCAGGCGCAAACTGATGACGGGGTTGCTGTATTGGTTTCATCTCGAAGCCAGCTCAGCAAGCTGTTGAACACATGTACGCTGAAGCGGCGCCCTTGGGCAATCCCACAACCCAGCTGAAAAGCTGGCGACAGGAAACCATGGAGTTGCACTCATTGGTGATCCAAATCAAGCAGATCATCCAATAATAGCCGATCAATGTGATCAATGCCTGCCTGCAAGCAAGCAAGCTTCAGGCTGCCCAGCCTGGCTACATCGAATGCCCAGTTCAAGCCTAAAATTGCCAAATACAAGGGCAGCCCGCAGTGGTCCCTTGCTTGCGCAAGCAAAACAATTGCGAGGAGCAGCATATGTGTGCCTGAGACTCCCCCTGCCTGATCTGCGCCAGAGAAAGCTTCAAGTTTCGCCCGGTTGCGGGCCAGCCACAACGCGTCAATGACATGTGTCATGTCCGAAACTAAGGAGATGGGATGGAGGCACTGAACCTGCCTCCCGATTTTCCCGCCCGTTTTTCGAATGTGCGAGAATTGCCTCAAGGACCAAAGAGTGGACGTCAAGCCGACGTTTCGGCTGAGGTTGGCAAGTCCGAGGAGAACTTTCCTGTGGGCAAGACAAAACAGTCAAAAGCGAGAAGCAGCCACGCAAACACTTCTTGGAGGAACAACATTTGAGCAGCACTGTGTCCAGCTCTTGTTCTGTGTAAAAAGACACTGCGCCATCACGGGGGGTTGACGTAGGGTAAGCGTGCCCTCCATTGCGTCTTATGACGCTGACCTGCTAGTCAGTTTCCAAGAGACATTTCTCATCTGCCGGAAAATCATTGGATGCGCGTGACGTCATGTCATGCACAAGTGAATCCAGCATAGCTTGGGGCTCACCGGTTTCTTCATCCAGCAAACAAACTTGAAAGTCAGCCTTTGTGTCAAAGAAGGAGGATAAGAATCGCTCAGGTTGTCCTCTGTTGGTTTGCCTCAGCCTGGTGTAGGTGTCGACAGCTTGGTGTTGCTCACGCAGGGTTGCCTCCTGCACTGCCTGCTTAAATGCAGCTTCAGACTGAAATTAGATGGTGCAAGCACAGTCTTCTTCTTTGCTTGAACATTGTGAACTCGTACCGTCCCATAGAAGTGTCCAGCCCTTTCAAGCAAATCCAGAAATCGTCTTTGATAAGGCCCTTTCAAGCAGAACCCCTTCCACGAAGGTTCTATGAACTTTTTCTGGGAAGATGCCTTCGTTTCGTTCTCCAGCAAATATTGATGCTAGCTGATAACACGGTCTCCCACAAGAACTCGTTGGCGCAGACTAACATGGTTCACTCCTACAGAAAGAGCACCAAAACAAGATTCGGAAAATAAATTGGTTTGAATTCCATGGTGTGGGGGCCGAATCGTTTTTTTCCTCGGAAGAGAGCCCAGGGGAATTGGCAGGATAATTCGGGATTCCTTGGATTCCATTCTGAACATGTTCATCCGAAGCGAACCCCGCAGCGCCAGGTGCTTCGTGATGCAGAGGCCAGCGCCCTTGAGCGAGGAGTCTATGCTGCCCCAGGACAGTCCCGGGGCTGAGACTCCGCAGAATGTCAAAATCGAGTGGGCTCCTACACTGAGTGTTTTTCGAGGGAACGCTTTTCACCTTGGTTTCAAGGGTAGCCAGAGAGAAAACCATTTTTGTAGGGTGCCTTTGTTTGGACACATGCCCTCACTGCGTCATGTTTCAGGTTTGCCCTTTACTCAGATGATGATTTCACGCAACAGACATCCGAGTTGTTGGGGCTGAGCATTGACCAAGTACAACTGCTGCTTGCTCACTGAAACCTAGAAACCGTCACGGTGATTCCTACAAACTCGTTTGTTGCCTTTCGGTGTCCTTGAAGTTTCCTTGTACTGAAAACCCAGGATTAATCCAACGTGGGTACACAGAGATCATGTCTTGTGAGGAAACCACGTTGCTTTCTGTTCAGCCCTTGCGCCAAGCACCTTCCCAAAAGACGACACAAACAAACAAACAAACAAACAAGCAAACAAGCAAACACATAAACAAATAAACAAGCAAACAAGCAAACAAAACAACAACATATGAGAAACTAAAGCTCAGATCGGGTCGCTTCGTGTGGGTTGCAACTGAGAAAACATACTAAGCATCTAACAACACCCAGTTGATTATGTAGTGGGCAACAGTATTCCACCCGTTCATGTGTAAAGTGTGTTCTCTTTTAGTTACCTATTACATTGACTGGAAGCACGGGGACCTAAACACAACAACCAATGAAGAGACGTTCTTTGGGTAGCTCATGTGGAAAATCAGACCGCTTGCAAAAAGACTTCCATGCCTCAACTGCAATTTTTGCGTCTGTACCAGTCAAATAAGGCAAACTTGCCAGTCACAACCAATAGGGGAACACACACTCACACACACGCCAGTCCGGGAAGTAGATGTAAAGCGAGGGTCCGATCCGCGGCCCTTCCACTCAATAACTTCTTCTTTGGATGATTCCCTGCTGCCCGGATGAATAGGGGTCTTTGCCCAGGAAAGTCAAGGACATTCAAGGACTCCTTCCGAAATGGGCTATGAAACCAGGTTTTGTTTCCCAGAGAGCATCTGTTTCCAAATTCCCAAGCAGAGGTTGGTACCCTTGGCACGGAGTGTATCCAGGTGGTGGAAACTCGGCAAACTAGAGCAATTTTACCAATGCAGTTGGCAAACTCGCCCATGAAGGCTCCCTCCATCTCACCCCCTGAGTACCTTAATTAATTGTTCACTTTCGGGAAGACCATATTTAGAAGCCACAGGCACATTCAGAGTTTGTTTGGCCAATGCATTTGGGAAGTGAGGCAAGGAAGTCCTGCATTGGCCTCATTTTGAGGCGTTTTGAATTGGTGAATAGGCAACTCCTTCTCTTCGACTTCAGGACTACCTGGGCCAATGGAACTCCGACCTGATCGGAGCCTCGGCTGAGCAAGTTGCCCCACCCTCGAAGGACAGGCCGATGGAAATACTCAACCATAGCGAGCCGATCTGATCGCACCTTTTGGTTGCAACCAGTTCGGGCCGATCTGATCGCGTGTCAAGGGTCCGGTGAACGTGCTAAGATGGTTTCCAGCACCCCCACACCAGTGCCCTAAGGGCAACTGGGCTATGCAACACTGCACAAGGAATGTATATCGCAGGTCTCCTTGGCAGATGATGCTATACTACTAAAAGGAACACTAAAGTGAAAAATGTCTCCGCCAAAAAGGGAATCGCCGCCCGTGATTAGAAGCTAGTATGCAGTATATTCTTTCCTTGGCCGACGTTGACACAATCACAATGTTGTGTCAAGGTTCCAACACGTCGGCCTTTCAGGACAGGAGAGCCCTACAAAGTCAATCTATCGGCGTTTCTGTTTGAAGGGAAACCCGAAGGATGCCCTTATTTTCAGAAGCCCCCATTTTTTCTTGGGTTGGCAGATTTGCCAGGTGATGGCGCAGTTGAGTGCATGAGCGTCAGCCAATCCATGGCACCCTTTCAAGGGCAACCCTTATGTGACACCAAAGGCCCCTCAGACCTTTGGAAGCAACTGGCGTTTGCAAGAAACCTACAACAGGTGATCGACAATTTGCTGGGGGGCTTGGAGCAATCCAATTATGATTGTGTTGAAATAGCTGGATTTGAGCATGCCCTGTGTCGCGTTCATCAGTTTGTCCAAATGCAGATGCGACCTCGAAAATGCAACAGGATCGTGTGTGTTTGTTGTTTCCGACAAGCAGGCCTAGGGTGCCCCATTCTCTTCCCACCGGAAATCCACTGGAGGTCTATGGCCGGTCAGACCTTTGCGGAAATTGGATTTGCCATAGGTGACCGGGGTGCTCACTTTAGTCCTTGAGCTGGTGGTTGGCAAAAATAGAGAGTACTTGGCTTTGGCTCATTTGCCCTCTCGGAACCCCTTTTCTGGGGTCCAAAGCCAGAAAAATAAGGCAAACTATGCAGGCAGCAGAATCTGTATTGTGGTGTAACCCCAGGCCCAGTTTGCCTTTTAGGGTTGCAAGCTTTGAGAAGAAACCAGGATTTTTCTTGTGCCCGGACCCTTCACAGGTGTTGAAAGGGCATGACCAACATGCATGGACCATATGATCTCAGAAAAAAGCTTCGGATAGAGGTGTTTGTGGGCTGCCTCCGCAGAACCTTCGTATCTTATGAGGATCCCCACCTGATATCGGAAGTGGGTGACCCCTGACCCTGGAAATTGATGGCTCCTTGTTTCTGCTTGGGACAAATGCAATTGGGGATTGGGGTGGGGGGATGCTTAAAGAGGACACATTCGAAACCCTCTCTGTCGGGCAGGGAACGAACAAACCAAGTTCCGAAAGAGAAAGGGCCAAATAACTACACATCATAGGATCGTGCGTATCTCGTCGGCTCCCTAAATGGCCGTGGGTCAACACCAACGGTACCATATTGGGGTAGGTGCACCACCCATTTTAGACTATTTTAGTGGGTATTGGGATATTCACTAGGAATATGAATTGATTTTGACCCATAGCCATATTTCCCCAGGCATTTCACATAGGCCCAGAACCTCGGGTTTCAGTCTCTGGAGCCCAGGCGGGTGCACCATGGAGCCTCAGGGAGCGCTGCTGGCGACGGCCTGCTTTTGCTGTCGCATCGGGGAGACTTGGCAACAGGCGAAGGGGGGGGGGGGGTTGGATTGGCCCGTCGTTTGATACATCTGAAAAACTAGCTACAGGATAGATTCTATAGGACATTCTGCAGGACATCCTTGGTTCTCTAATCGGGTATTGACAAATTTCCTGTAGCATTGTGTGTGTAGCTGGTTTCTATGTGTGCCATTTGATTGCCCACTTTGTTGGTCACCTCACCGATCCGGGGACAAAATGAGCTCACTATGATATAAGTTCTTTACTCGGGGATCCACGTCTCATTTCAGCTTCTGGCAGAATTGTAGTTGTTGCAGCTTGTCTGACGAGCTTACCGATCCGTTTGTAAAACGAGCTCATCATACTGGTCGTTTGCTTGGGGTTTTGCAGACTTGGTCCTGGTGGACACCAAAAAAGGACTCCAGGAACGCCTCTTGGTTCTCCTGAAGAACCAAGAGGAAAGGCCATCCGCAAAAAGGGGTTCCTCTAGACAGGCCGGCGGCTCATGTCAAAGGGGTCCGAAGGTTTTTGCATTTATATAACTCTTGTATGCGTTTGTTTCACCTTCAATCTGTTTGAAGAATACAAGGTCCTGCCTTGGAGTACCTTTATTTTCCAAAGGAAGCAAGAGGTAACTCAACTATTTCTTGTTGTTCGGCTGGACCTTTGACATTGAACCTTTTGAGCAATGACAGGGTCTCACCTACTGGCGACAAGCTTAAGTGTAACAAGTGAATGCCAGCCCATCCCTGTTCTCACTTTCCATTTGTTTGGCCACAGCATGCCACAGCACCGCACTCCATAGCAGCACCCCGTCGAAATTATATTTCACACCCAGGCCCAACAACTTGCATTAGTTTGTGCAGTCTGAAAAATTGTCGTGCAACACCTGCCCCTCATTTGAAATAGAACGTTCCGGGCTAGGGTTCCAAGAACGCCCCGAATAGTTTAGGATTCGTTGAGACTTTTCCCCTTGCTCTCTGACCAAAGGCACTCAACGGTCCGTTCCTCGATGGACTGACCGAAACCATGACCATGTTCCTCTCAATGGAAGCTTATCCACGTTTGCAGCCGGGAGGTTGTTCTCACAGCCTGCAAAACCGTCGCTGGAATGTTGGAATCTTGACAATGTGGTTGCCACAGAACCAAGCCAATTCGGAGGGAAATAGAGCGAAAGCCATCCTGTCCCTTGTTTCGTTGTTGTTTTGTTTGCAATGTTGCGGATCCCTACCCTCTAGTACATGACTGGAAGGGGATGAGGTTCACTGGAGCCCCTACTTGTTTGCCCTTTTGTGCCTACTTTTGGTCTTGGCCCATGAGGTGATCACCTTTGACCAGTCAGAAAGTTACTTGTGACCGTGCCGGCATGCAGGCTGGCTTTATGGCCTTCCAGCAGCTTGGCAAGTCTGCGGCTGGTGCAGGGAACGGGGTTTGCCTTTGAACAGGAAATTGGATAACATGTGGATGGAAAAGGAGGGGTGGAGGAGTACTTTCTGTACCAAGTGATACCAAGGGTATTTTCGTGTAGGTTATCAAGTCTGCATGGCCCGTCCAAAGGTTTTTGATCCAACACTGGAGGAATTGCCGTCAGAAGTTCGGGTAGGGTGTTGAATGTGGAAAGCTGTGCCACGTTCGGGTCTACAGTTTCGGAAAACATATTTTTCTCATCCGAGCCGCCACAGAAAAAAGAGAGTAAGGTACCCCTGGGTGCTTGGATCAGTGGTTTAGGGGATTGAACAGAATGCACTTCTGACGCACGGGGAAGGTACCCCTAAGGTCCGAACGAATTACACCAAGCCACCAGGGTGTAAGGCGCAAAAAGGTTTGTGTGGGGGTTATTTTGTGTATTTATTATTAATAGGGTGAGGCTCCTCAGATGTTGGCGCCGACTCATTTCTCACTTGACATTCCCACTCCCTAGGTAATGCATTGAGGGGGCATACCCCCAATGAAGGACGCCGTCCAGGAGCTTTGCTTCAGGTGGTCCCTCATTTAGTGCACACCCAGGTCTGTTTATTGCCACCTGGCTGAGGTATGCGGCTCTCATCCCGCACTTCTTCTTCTGTTGCCTGCCTTGCATTGGAACCTACTTCCGGGGGCTCATGCGGCAGCGCTTCAGCATCAGGAGCGAGCCGCCGGCAATTCTCGTGGGCAAGGCATCCCCATTCCCACCCCCTAGCCTGCCACACCAAACCGGTTTGCCCTTTTGCCCTTTGGGTTTTCTTCATCTTAAACAAATTGCCTTTGGGTCGTAGTTCAGCCGGGAGTCATACATTCATGGAAGGGGGGACTCTCGGCAAAGGGGCCTTTTCCTATATAAATATTTGTTCGTGCGAGTACAAGTGAACAGTTGCTGCCATTTGAAAGCCCTTCATGGGACCCGCCTTAAAAATGATCGCCCACCCGGAAACTGCTGCGTTTATTAAAGTGAGCACCCTAAAACAGCACTGGCTATTTTAGTAGGTGGTTCTGCTACCTGGCCTCATAAAGGTTATAATGAGGCCTCTACAAATCTGTAGAACTATCTCAGTAGAACCCAAAGTCAGCGGGTGAAACCAAAGTTCGATCACACACCAGTAGAAAGTTTAAAGATATTTCAAGCACCTCCTTTGGGGAGCCTTTGGGCTTGTCAAGGCTCATATTGGCGCTAGTGTTGAGGTAATTGATCTGATATCCACTTCCGACCATTTGTTGGACTTTATTTGGGGATATCAGTTTAACGCGAACTCGGAACTTATGCATTACTGAGCACAGTCATTTGCCTGTGCCACACGCCTGGATCGAGTTGCGGAGGAGACACACCACCACGCTGGACTGCTTCGCATGGACACTTAGCAGCAAATCTTAGCAGCCGAATCTAGGGTCGTTTGCATTCTTGGCAAGATTTTAACGTCCAGTCGTGGATGTTGAAGGTCGCCTGTTTCGCGAAACCCTTTGCCCATCAGACTAAACGGTTTCGCCCACTGCACTGACCCCTATGGAGATCCGAAATGTGAGCGCCTGTGGCCTTTGAGCCTCTAATGACCTGAGAGAATGACATATCTTTGGCGCTTAAGAGTGATAGTGCATAGAACAATATCAAACTAAGAGCGTTACCAGTAAAACCTGTCTGCCGGTGTACAATGTCGCGAAGGAAGAGTTCTCCGTTTGGCAGCTTGGTGAGCATTACTACACATGTGGTGGTTACCGTGGAGCGCACTTGAAAACTAGCGAGTGCCCTGGTTTCTATGGGACATTTGGTATGGGATATACAGCAAGGCTTCAAATCAGACAACTGAATTAGCCTGGAATTGGGGCGAATGTCATACTCTGCGACTGCCCGTATCTGGCTCAAAGCAGGCTGAGCTCATATCGTTTCAAACATGCCTCTTTCATAGAGTGGGTCACCCCCACAAATGCCACTCAACTGGACAGCCACGAACTGCAATTATCTTTCTGGGGCTCAGACGGGAAAGGATTAACAAACCCTGGACCTCCGTAGAATAGGCTTCAGTGACGAGCTCGGGGTTCGCCTTTCGATCAAGACGCGTGTACATGGTCCCTTGATTTTCCTGCAAGGGCCAAAGGGCAAACTCCCAAGGTGGGGGGTTTCTCTTCAGGAAGCCACGGACAAGACTGGAATCTGTTTTGGATTGGATGAGAAGCAAAAATATTCTTTTGGCTGCCGTTGAATGCCAGATGGCCCACATAAGGAGTATTGACGATGGCACTAAGAAGCCCTTTCGCTTCGACCGAGGACGGTGCTACCGTGCTGTGCCTCTGTGCAAGAGGCAAAGATGGTGGATGCCATGTGCGTGTGGGAGCCGAGGACGCGGAATCGGGGCAGGACTTCCGTGCTCGGCTGAGGGACAGGAACTCAAACCAGAGCAGTTAACGTTCGGAGCAACTCACGCTTTTTGCCTAGCTGGATGCTGGCATTGGCATAAAAAAGAGTTCCCAGAGCCTTTGCGCCACGTGCATGTTCACTTCGGATGGCATATGTGTGTGTGTGTCAAAATAGGGATCCCCCCCAAAAGGGGGGGTTGTTTTTTTGGAGTTCCCTTTGCACCAACCTGAAAAGGGTACCCTCAAACACGCAAACCCATACATATATTATTGGTTGATATGTCCATGGCATCCGACATCCGAATAGTAAGGTGCTTCGCATTAACCCCAAGGTTATGGCTGTACCCCCCGTCAAGTGGTCTGGAAAGGTGCAGCCGCCTTTGTAGATCACACGGTTTTGGGTAGACATGAATTTAGTTTTGATCGGCTGCGAGAGGAGATATTCAAGCCCCACGATCTTAGTTGGCTGCCATTTTAGCTGCGGTTGCTTTGACATGGGTTTCCTAGTAAATGGCATCCATCCTTCAAAGTTAGTTCTTCCTGTGGAAGCCGAGCACAGGCCCCACGATGAAGGAATTGAGGGAATCCCGAGTTCGAATTCGAAGGTAGCCTTTTGACTTGCTAAGCATCGGGTCTCAACATGAAGTTTGTCTCGTGTCAAAACGAGCTCAAGACTGTCGTATACTATGTGAACTGGGGCCAACACGAGTCACCGCTGCCGCCAGTTGGTCGATTCATGTTGATGTCTGGTTTTACACTTCCTAGTATGTTACATGTTTAAGTTGGAAGTCATTTAGGTCAAAGGCAAGACCTACATGAGTGGAGGATTGGGGAGTTCTCAGTCAAACAAAACAGGCATGACTTTTTGATTGATTTCGTGATTCTGGGTGGTAGCCCCAAAACCATAATAAGCACAGGGCACCCAAACAAATTTGTCAGTGGAATACCCAAGCGGTTGGCAAGTTTGCAACCCACTTCGTCCCCCTGGCGGAATGAAATCTGTACAGTATGTGGCTTTAACCCTTTCCAATTCGTTCAAGAAGCTGAGTATCTACTTACTATGATTTTCCCATGGTCATGACTGATTTTTTTTATGGTTCCCCCACACCCCTATAAAATTCTACATTTATCACTTATCGATTTTGGTCCGACACTTTGGCGGCCCCTTTAGTGGCTACGACTCCGACTTCATATCCCTGCGCCGCGCCGCCGCTCGCTCGGGGCTTTGTCTTGCTTTAGCCAGCGGAGTTCTTAAAAGAGGAGCTCCGCCTGGAAACAACTGCCAGTTTGGCCCTGGACCAATTTTATGTTTACTTGGTGCGGGTGACTGGCGACATGGGGCGGCAAATTGACTTCTCGAAGAAAGTGCCACGAGCCAGCAAATCTCCACATTGTCATGTTGTTGTTTCAAGTAAGACCGCCCCCGAACCATCAGCCAACACCAAGTTGTGTTGTTCTTTCTCCTCTTTTGCAGCATCACGTGTAGCTGCAACCAGCTGCCGCACCCTTGAAGCTAACAGTTACCCTTAGAACGGGCCGTGGGTAGTCGCCTTGGAGCAATCGAATCCACCGCCATGGTGCGGCTCGCCTGTGAAGAGGAGGAATCCAAGGAATCGACCTTGTTAAGATTCGTGGAGTCTCAGCACGTGGCACCTTGGACAAATTAGCTGGGAGCCGACGCAAACCCCAACCGGTTCCTGGTGGCTGTGTTTCCTCTTTTGTGTGGGGGGGTGGGGGGTTCCCTTTGTAGAATCAACCAACAAAAGTGTGGCCCGCTTTTCCTTGTTACTTGCCACTGAAAACTACACCCCCCTCAGGGAAGACCAAAGCAGACCAAAACGGAAAGTGCGCTGGGGGAGGGCAGGAAGGGGACGGGTCCGCGGGACGGTTTCCCCACGAAAGATGATCAACCCTGCGAAATGGAAAGAGTCCTGCAGAGCGATCCGCAGATTTTGTACAGATACCTGATGCCTCATGCAATGGACCTTGTGTAGATGTCACTTGACCCTTCGGATGGATCTTCGTAAATAGATGCGCGTTGTCGTCCAGTAGACCTACAAGGGACTGGACCCACAAGGGGCCTTGCACAGGCCCTTGCAAGACCCGCAAGAGGAAACAAGACCACAAAAGAAGAGTGGTGTCAACACGTGCTTACATGACTTATCGAGGCAAGCCAACATGATAGGAGCTTCCCAAAATTTCTTTGGCTTCCCTTTACACACCAACCGGCGGATGGGGGGGGTGGGGGGTTCCTTTGCTTGCTCACTTGCCCAGGTCGACCTTTTGACCTTCGGTGTTTTGAACTTGTCCATTTGTATTTTGAGCGTCCCTTTCAACTTTTGACTCAAAAGGTTGGATCAGTCCATGCTTCTTCAAGGTCAGGTCCTTTGGGCACGCGAGTCCTCCCTCGAAAACTTCCAACCATTCTGAACCTCCGAATCAGCAGAACGGGATTGGGCGGAAAAGGAACCAGCCCCAAGAGGTCCACATTTCCCCATTTGGGAACCCACCAATGGGCCTGGGCTGGATTGTGGTTTTCTTTAAGCACTCTCCCCTAACATAAACAATCCAAGAAACCAGAACCTTGGACTCTGAACACATTTCGCTCGTTTTGTGGTTCGCAACATCACTTTTTGGGCCGCTTTAAAGGTAGGGTCATGTCGAAAGTTGTTGGTACAATCATGTGCAGTTGCATAGTCCCGACTGATACTGTGTTTGCTCAAGAAACAAGGCGCTCTGCAGCGGCCGAACTAGACCGATCGGTCGGGCCCTGATCGAAGGGACAGCCTGAGCAAAGTACGGCCACAGTGGGGGGGACCACCAAAACTGCGCAGGAAGAAATTGCAGCCAAGGCCAAGGCGACCTCTTTCTGTCTCGATTGCAGAAACTTAAGATCCCCAGCAAAGCCCGAGCTAAGGCTCGTGCTCAAGCCCAGGCACAAAGCTGAGCAGACAGCTGGAGAGGAGCGCCGAGGAAAAGCCTGATCTACCCGCTGCAGACCCTGAGAATGAGAAGGAGGAAGGAACTCTCCAGGCAAGTGTCGGCTGCAGGAAATACCAGCCCCACCTTCTGCACAGCCGGGCGCGACCCTTGAGGAAAACAGGGCGGCGCGGGCGCAACAGCAATCGCAACGAATGCAGCATGGCGCACGGGCTGAGCTAGTCTGAGGAGTTTCAGAGTTGGCGCAAAGCATGAAATCCACACAGGATCCCCGTCAGCTCTGCCGATCACCAAGGATAATGGGCAGGCCAAGCCTACTTTTGTAAATGCAAAAGGGGCCACGCCCGTTCTTTGCCAACTTCCCACATTGCTCTTATGGAGCAGGCAGGCCCGTGAGGCTGGTGTTGAGAATGTTCCACAAGAATCCGGAGCGTGTGACCGGAGCAATGAAATCAAGAGGCAACTGAGAGCTGGATGGACGCGCGCCTGAGCATAGGCGGCACGCCGCCGCCGCCGCAAAAGCGGATCTACGTCAGGGAGGTGGATGCGGAGAAGCGAGCTCCAACCGAAAGACAGCGTTTGTTTGTGGCGCGCCTTTCCCAGGCCAACTCTATTCACTGCACCCTTGGCTGCTGTTGCGGTCGGGCGCTTCCACTTCGACTGCAAAGTCTTATGAATCTACAAGACTCATCTGGCTTTTGCTCTTGGAAGAAATTAACCTTGGAACGGCTCCAGGAACCTTTCAAGGAAGGTTCTTTTGCGAGACCAGCTAAGCCGGCGAAGGTGAGGACACAGGTTGCCTTCGACCGTGCCGCCAGGCGTAGGGCCACAGGCATGGTTGCCCTCTATGGCAGTCATGCTGAAGCGTCGAGCAATGTCCAGGCTCCGCGTACTGCGCTGTATGGTTGCGGCCCAGGCGATTGCACACCCTCCAGCAAAGAGGAGAGCTGAAATATGTAGCCTAAGACGTTGCAGTCTACAGTCAGGTGCAGCTGCTTTGTGTTGACTGATGCCGCGTTTTGTGGCTCAATATGAACAAGGCGCTCCGTAGCAGCCGACCTAGATTTTCAAGAGTGGAAATCTGGGCCGGTCTGGGTGTGTATGGGCGTGTTCTTAGTGGAACCCCTGCTTCAAGAATTTATTGAATATGAAACCAAAAGGAAGCCAAACCTTTCGTGGGTTCTCGAGGCCTTGCTGCAGAGATTACGCAGCACCTTCAAGGACGACAGCGTTACTGGGGGCGATGACGAGGCGTGGTCTGTCGATTTTGGGCCAACATCGGGGGAGGGGGGTTCTGGCATGCGCACAAGCAATCCCAAATGGGTACCGAAGAGTACCAAAAAGATGTGGCCATGGAACCCCAGAAATGGACATGCTGAAAGGCTTCCCTTTGGTTTTGCCAAGACATTTGGAATGGAGTAGGTGTGTGCTCCCGTGTGTCCATTTTGATGCTACCCCTTTCGGGATGGTCTGTAAACAGGGGACCCCGCAAAATCTGAGAAGGGCGCCGCTTCAATCCGGAGAAGGGGCTAACGGACACATCCTCCTGGTAGAAGCTCATTGAAATATGGTTTTTGACTCATGACTTGAGTAATCCAAGGTAGGACCTTATCCAAGAGCTTGCTTTGTGTGCTAAAGTCTCAACTCCTTATATGGGCCATGGTACTTTTTGAGCAGGACTTGTCATAGAGGCGCAAACACCAGGGACCTTCTTTTGATTTTTCAAGTAACGCCGAGAGAATCCAACTGGGCAAAGCGCAGTACATTTAAGGAAGCATGCTAGAAGCGTATTCGGGCCCCCTAGTACCCGAGATGGTCAAGGTACACATATTAGGTGGGAAGGGAAACCAAAAGGGCAGCACCACTTCTGGGGTCCCAATCCTTAGTTTGCGACATGCCCATATAAGGAAAAATGCACAAACAGGGACGATCCCCATCATGCATTTCCCCGGCATGTAGGTTTCAGTTGGCTCCTTTATCATGCAGATTCTTGCCAACCCCGGATGCTTGCATGTCCAGCAAACTCACC